AAAAGTGGTTAAAAGAAAGGTTAATTATGTGCTGATACCATAGAAATGATACTGCTCTTAAATACCAAATTGTAAGGAAGGGTTAAATTCCATAAATTGTATATGCCGATGATACCTACCTCTACTTCACTGGCTCCATCCAACAATTCAAGTTCTGATTGACGGCCTGTCTGACATCAAGACCTGAAAGAACCATAATTTTCTGCAGTTAACCATCAACAGGGATGTTTGGCTCTCACCAGTGCCTATGTGTCTTTGGCTGCAATTCCAGTGACCTCTCTGGCTGCTCATTCCGGCTGAACCCGGTGATGTGCAGTCTTGCTGTTCCATTTTACTCAACACCAAGATTCAAACCCCAAATCCAGACCATCGCCAAGACTCCTTTTTTCCATCTCACCTCCACTGCTGCTGAAATGTCTTCATCATGTGGAGGGTAGATTCTTCCAGTGCTCTCCTACATGGTTTCTTTTGCACCATTCTCCAGACATTCAACTGGTTCTCTTCAGTACAAGACCCACGTAGGCATTACAATAACAAAAACTTACATTTATATCACGTACTTCACACAGGTTAGGGCACTGGAGGCCAGTCTTTTTGGTCAGCCAACAAAATACATTTTCTTGATTGAATATTTCTTGATTTATGGGATTCAAACAAGAACATTTATGCCGTAAATCAAGAAATATTCAATGAAGAGAAACCTGGAAACCTATTACTGATCTTACCTAGGCTGGCACAAATGTTTGGGGTGTTCTTTTTGGAGGCCCCGCAGGCCATAGTTTGGCTGGCACTGGGTTAGGATCTCAGAACAGATTTATTCCTATGCTTGCCAAGCAGCATTTCCCCCTCAGTAGTTTGATGTCTTAACAATGTGATAAGGCGCTATATCAAATGCAAGGTTTATTTTTACCTTCCTTCATTCCGCTCCACGCATACAGGGAAATTACAGTGAGAAATCTTTGTAACTGAACAGTCAGGCATCCCAAAAACAAAAGTTTTGTTATTTACTGATTTCAAACTTTCAGCTCTTTACCCTGTCTATCATGATTGTTTGAAAGTGTATCAGTGACCCGGAAGGGCATCAGATTTGAAAGTGGTTAACAGCTTGAAGCTTCATGGTATCCAAACATCATCCTTTGTATAGCTGGTTCTGTGGTAACTCATGGGAGGTATATTCTCACGGTGTCCTGGCCAACAGTCCTCCAGAAAAATGATCATTTTATGGCTATTTGAGGGACTTTGCTTTCCAGAAAATGGTAGCCACGTTTGCCTGGAGAAAATAGTCCTCACACCTGACAGCAATTACAGGGAAGTGCTTTGGCATATTTCAGCAATTCTTTCTTTTTTGGAGAAGGATTGTGGTGGCCAGCCACACCCTGAGTCTCATCTCTGGGAACATGGTTTGAATACAGACCACACTAGTGGCATCAAAGTATCTTCTCACTGATGGGTGAAATCTCAGCCCACTTCGATGTGTAAATAGATATGGAATATATGACACATGCAAATCACGTCCCAATCCATGAGTACAGAGGGGATTAATCATGCAATTAACAACCATTTAAAAGGATTTATTATGAGTGAAAGTCAGGTTAAATATTATCAATGTTAACACATTGTGCTGAAATCAACAATTTTCCAAATTCATGTTGAAACTAGAATAAACGTAGACCCAGGGGCATTTTCTCTCTCTCTCATTGCCTTCAGGAGAGTAGGGGGGCAATTAGAAGGAGGGAGGGGAGGAATCATACTTGAATTCCTTTAACACGCGTCACAGAAATATGATAACTTCAATACAGTAATGAATTAACACAAGGTGCTGAACAATAAAGTAAACATTTAATTTAAAGTGCTCCTTACACATTGAACCAATTGACCTCGACCCGATTAGTGTAGCATTCTGTGGCAGAGATATTTTTTAGGCGTAACAGATGGATGTTGAAGAGGTGCAGAGTTACACAGATGACAGCAACAAGCAAATCCAAGAGGCTGTAATTACCAATGAGAGGCTTTTTTTTCTTGATGTCAGGTCATCGAGATACAGTAACTTGTTAGACTGATCTTTCCTGTGGGTCTGGTGTTGACAGTTTCTGTTAAACTTCAATAGCAAGAGGGTAGGGCACATGCTGTACCTTTCATTGGACACCTGTGCCTGTAGGCAAGTAAAGCCTGGGACTCAAACAAGAAATGCCAGATTTGGGTGGAAGACAAGAGTCTTAACAATTTAGGCGCCGTGAACGGTGAGAGGGAGAAACAGTGGACGATAAACCACAACATTACAAATGTTTTATTGAACTTTAAGCGAGCTCTTTTATGCTGAACACTACACTTCCAACTATAATACATGACACAGGCCAATACCATTTTTTCGAATTGGGATATGTAACAGGAAACTATCTCCTGTTGTATGTGTCCGACCCGCAATGCACCCCTCACCAGTCACACAGTATTTATTCCTGACGTGCAGTGCCTCAGCAATCACTCCACAAAAAGGCTACAAAGCTTCTTCCTGTTCAGCCAAAAGATTTTGTATCAAACTCGCCTCAGGGCAAAAACTTCAATCAAGCACTAAGCTTTAATGAGATTAAAAAGTCAGAGGACAGATGTAAGGCTTGCACAGAACATTTTAGTCAATACGTTAGATAACTTAGGATGCATATTCCTCTGACCATGAACTTTTATTGAAAGTACAGCAGAAAGAGTGGAAGATTGAGACTAAATGGGTAGCTCTTTCAAAGAGGCAGCATGGGCACAATGGGCTGAATGGACTCTCTGTGCTGTAAATGTCTATGGTTCTAGTGTACATGAATTGCTTTTATTAAAGAGCCTGCCATTATAAAATTAATCACTTTGCACCTACTACATTAATAGCTTCAATTGATCCTCCACTGAAATTCACCAGACCATTGGTCTTCGTAAATAGTCAGAACGTTGTTAATTCAAGTTTGACATCTGGACTTTGAGCTCACAGTCTAGGCTGATACTCCACTGCAGTACTCAGGGCGTATTGCATTGTTGGAAGTACTTCAGATGAGATGTTTATCAGAGGTCCCGGCTGAGTGTTCAGGTGGACATTAAAGATCCCATGGCAGCATTCGAAAAGTGAAGGGAGTTTCTCCAGTTGTTCTGGCCAACAATTCCCCAAGTAAAATTGCTCATTCACTTCATGGCTGTTCATGGGACATTGCTGTGCGCAAATTTGCTACCGCATTCACCTACAAATTCGCAGTCACTACACTTCACAGTGAAATCCTATGAAGCATTTCAGCATTCTGTTAGAACTACAGAAAATTGATTTCAAAGTTAAGACCGAATTTAACAATTTCCCAAATTCTGGGCGCTCTGAAATGTTACGTTAATAGAGTAAATGCAGACTTGGGTGAAATTTCTCTTGCATCTTTAGTGACAAGATGTTTCACAATTACAAGAGAAAAACAGGAAAAAACAGCTGGGAAAAGAAAAGACATGCAACGCAGAGACTTAAGATGAAAAAACAACCTACACCCTCAATTTGTATAAAGAATAACGTTCTTCCCAAATGAGTTTTTTTCTTCACTTTTTGTGATCTTTAAGGGACTAAGATAATTTATTTGTTTATATGAAACAATTGCCTGTTTTTGAGCTAATAACAGAGATAACTTTAATCGTATTATAATAGATTTGGTCTTATATAAAAAGGACATTGATAACAAACAACTCCAATAATGCAATACAGAAAACCATCATTTTCACTTGTTGATCTCGAATCATAGAAATTGCAGAACAGAAGGAGGCCATTCGACCCTTTGAGCCTATGCTGGTGGCAGATAACCTGCTGGAACTGACTATTCCAATGTGCTCTTTTCCTGTAGCTTATTAGAATCATAGGAGTGTAAAAAAATGGATGGTATTTCATCAGAATAATATATTTTCATATTAAGATGGTCATTCAATCCACGACTGTTTGTGGGACACTGCTATGCGCAATTGGCTTCCGCATTTCACCCACAAAATACAGTCAATTCACTTTACAGGATATCCTGTGAAGACCTTCGAAACATCTCAACAACATAAGGCACTATATTGAATGCAAGGATTATTATTAATAAGGTAACACTATTGAAATCTGCCTGGTGGTTTGCTGACAGCTCATTCATACAGGAAATCATTGCAGTGGCATTATCAGTGTAGTATTACAAGACACAGCAGGCAGCAGCTTGCAATATTGTTCTGTTCAAAAATACTAGTCTCATGGAGAGGGGTAGGATGCTGTTTGATTTCATTGTTGTTAGTGATGATGCCCTCTTTCTGTTCTATGGTAGGGAGCAACCAAGCAGAGACCAAGTCATCCTATCACGAAGAACTGGAAGGACAACTACTTCAGGCTACTCTTCCTAGAACAACTACAGTCCTGGGCTAATATAGAGCAACCTCCACTTAGTTCCTAGTGGAGATCTCCAGCTATTCAATCAACATATCGTGTCATGAGTCTTCGGAAGGAAGAGGGAAGAAAGCATGAACATGAAACCCGAGCATTGATTTTCGGTGGGTTCATATTAATGTGTTGCTGAAATTTAAAACCATGAATTCTGTATTTATTTACAAGGCGTCATCAGAATGTGGTATGCTTTAGCATAAATAGCTGCTGAAATGGGTACACATGATTTGAAAAGGTATCGGATAATAATGGGGAAATAATATTAAAGGGTACGGAGAAGAGCAAGGGAATAAATAACAATAATCTTTGTATTTGGCATAGCGCCTTATCATGTCGGAAGGATGTCTCAAAGCAACTTCACAGGATTTACTATGAAATGGAGTACTGTGTATTTGTAGGCAAATGCAGCAGCACAATTGTGCACAGCAATTTCCTACAAACAAACATGGAGTGAGTGAGTAGATGGCTCCAGTAGGGAAGCTAGCACCAATATGGAATACTATGGGCTGAAACCATGATGCAATTCTAAGTGTGCGTTCATGGCATAACTGAAGGTCTCTAAAGAAAACTCCCAAACCATATATTTTCTGATAAAATGTTATTCAATTTAATATTTTAATTTACATTTCTGTCTATGTACAATGTACTCAACATTTGAAAACGCACAGGTTAACACAATAAAACACTGTTGGATGCTAAAGGAGCACAGAGATAGTTTATGAATACACTCTGTTGTCAAAAGCAAGGCACTCCCCCTTTAACAGCTAGGGTTCCTGAATTCAGCCTGCAGAGTTACTCTGAGCAACTGGCAATTGTCGCAATAAATACAGGCAAAGCCATTACAATAACATGCATTCAATCTTTATACAAATAAAGACGTTATGCAACACAAAAAAGTTTTGTATTAGTATATGGCATCAACAGTATAAACATCATACAAAAACTTTTACGGACACGGAATGTTTAATGCAGTTGTGACTGCATTCCTTCCAGCACCTACATTCTCAGCACTCTGCACTCAGCCCTTCTGTGCCTGCAAGACATGCGGATCTTTCAGTCCTGATTCGCATTATCTTCACTTTACCGTGCTTGAATCCTCACCTCTTAACACCTTCCATCATCGTCTAAAACGTGTACTCAAAACTCTTGTTTAATTAAAATGCCTCTAAAATGTTTCTCTCTCTCTCTCTCTCTCTCTCTGAGGAACTTGTGTAAGTGCTGCCTCCTTCCGATTCACAAGGTGTCTGTCCCCGTGCCGCTCATATTATTGATCAATACAAACATCACTACAGAGATTCAAGTTCAGGTAACTTTGTCAGTAAAGTTAGTGCCAACGATTCGTTGAAGTTCACCAAATTCTTTTAGTATTAAAATAAATTAGAGTTTGAAAAACAAACGGCTTTAACACCATAGCACTTTCAAAAAATTGCACTTGAACATGTGAGCTAAGAGCCTTTGTCACTGCATTCTAAAAACAGAATCAATTATTTTGAACTTTTTTCAACAGAGGCGCGTTCCTTGCACCACCAGTCAGTCGCTGTACAAATAACACATTATGATTTCTACTAAAGGCATCAATCACAATAAAAAGCACTCTACCTTTGTAACAACTTTGTTGTTAACATCATTTTTTTTTTAAGAAAAACATTTCCTATGAATCACCCAAGTACATTGGGACGACATGTTACAGACTAGAAAGAAGTCAGATGAACCTGTCATGACAGGTTTCGTTCCCCGGGTGCTATGTTAGCATTCCCAAAAGCAGCAAGCAGACATTTTTTTTTATAAAGTACAGGATTCTGCAAAAAAAAGCGCCAAAGTCCTTGGGCATTGGGCAGTTAGAGCTGCTTTCTAGGGACAGAGGCCAGAGCACCAGCTTTTCACGTTACAATCTGCCTGGCCACTGGAGTGTGCGGTTGCCAAGAAGGAAGAGGCAAAATCTCTCAGAAAGGCAGTGTGTCCAGAAAGAGCTTGTCAATGATGGCAGGTGGTGGCACCAGGTCCTCCAGCTTCAGATAGAAGATACGTTGGAGCCCTTGTGTACGTAGGGAATGCAATTGAGGCAGGACGCCCAACACCTTGGACAGGGACTGCCCTTTGTTCTCCCCAGGACTGCTGAAGGATGTGTGTTCCTTCAGGCAGCTGATGATTCGGCTTTGCAATTCTTCCAGTTTCTTTGGTTCTTTTAACCCATGGCGCTCTGTGGAAACAAGGCAGAGAATCTTTATCAATACACTCCAGGATAACAAGGCTTTTTCCCGGACATTAAGTATACTGGAGTTCAAGTACACTGCTCACTAGCTCATTGGCATGGTTAATTATAAAGCTCTCCTGAACTGCAAGAGATTGAATGATGCATGCTGTCATATAATCTCTGGGACTTGCATTTGAATCAATGGGATATGAGGTTTCTTGTAAGTGTAAGGGTTCTCACACAAAATGAGTTTCATCCAATACAGGGTGACTAAAAAGTCGTGATACCATTATGACGTCTAATAAGTCTTTAAAAAATGATTTTTTTTAAAAAGATAATAGGATAGTTATCCCTACTTTTTGGTTACCCTGTATATCTGAACAAATAGCACAAAACTGCCTACAACTTGGCACAGATGGAAATCTGACTCTTGAGAACCCCTGAAGCCGTCTGGACTAGTTCACACCCCTGCTGTACAGGGACAATCTTATGATGTTTAGATTAAGGTAGATCCATAGGGCAAAATTAGATTTTAAAAAAAGTGAACATGCAAATTTTAAGTGCCATTTCATGTTGAAGCTTCTCAAAGTGCTTCACACGTAACTGCTGTTAAGTGTATTGTAGGCAAACACAGCAGCTACTTGGGTCAGCAAGTCCCCAAAACAGCTATTTGGTGGATGTCCAATTATTCAGGAGGATTGTTGGGTGGAAAACTAAGAGAAGCACTCTTCCTTGTCCCTTTGAATAATGCCATGGGACCTTTAACATTCACCTAACCAGGCAAACAGGACCTCAGTTTTCCCCTCCCCTCCTTCAAATCGGTGTGCTTCATTGTTGGTTGGCACTCCATCTAGTGGCTTGGCTGAGAACAGATACCCTTGTAACTGTGCCAGGATGACTGACCAGCAATTCTATCCTGTGACCTTGCCCAGTTGGGTCTGAAGATGTCAACAAGGCTTGGTTGGTGTTCGAGAGCAAGGAAAACAGCCTTTCAGTGCTTATTTTCAACTGCAAATTACACAGTCACTACACTTTTCAGTATATCCTGTGAAGTACTTTGAGATATCCTATCTATGTGAAAAAGTGCTCCAAAACACTATCCAGTGTGAAGGACACTACATAAATGCAAGTTGTTGTTATATCAAATGTAAAGAGTATTATTCATGGGCTCATGGCATAATTCAGATTCAGCTAGGCCAGTGTCCCCAACACTATTTTCAACATCTGAAAATAATTCTCACTAATAATACTAAAACTACAGTTACTAATAATAATCCGATATACCATATTATCAGGTTGTGGAAACATCTAAAAGCACTTCACAGGATTTTCTTGCAAAGTCTAGCATCTGTGTATTTGTAGTCAAATGTGGAAACCAATTAGCTTACTGTAATGTCCCATAAACAGCCATGAAGTGAATGCGTAATTTTATCTGGGAGATAATTATTTTGGGGAGGACAAGTTTGTAGGGCAATGGGAAGAGAGCAGGGGAGTGGGATTGATTTGTATAGCTGTTTCAAAGAGCAGGCACAGACACGATGGGCTGAATGGCCACCTTCTGTGTTGTATAATCCTATGATTGTTGGCCAGGACACCAGGAGAAACTCCCTTCTTTTTTCAAATAATGCTGTGGGAACTTAAATGTCCAACTGGACAGGCAGGCAGGCCCTTGTTTTAATGTTTCATGAGAAGGACAGCACCTCTGACAATGCAGCACACCCCAAAACTGTACTGAAGTGTCAGCCTAGACTATGATTTCAAAGTGTTGATGTGAGGTTTGAACCTACAACTATTTGACTTGGAGGCAAGATTGCTACTTGCTGAGCCAGGCTGACACCTTAAGTGGGAACCCAAGATGATGGTGCCCGGCTTTTCAGACTGAATAGCGAACTACCATTCTTCAGAATTGAGAGGGGTATTTTGATAATTTTCCTTAAATAAAGAATACAGTGTATTCTAAATTACTGCACATTTGACCCCAGTCTCCTTGAGAAGCTAGTATGCAAATGTCTGCACCACTGTTATGGCAGCTGAGCTGAGACACGAGTGGGTCATCTTGTTGGACATGCAATATCACCTGGAAGGGACAGCTGAGCAGACATGCTTTCTATCAGCTGAACATAGAGCAGCATTGACTTCAACATTTGTAAGCGAGCATGTGCCCTCCTTAATTATTATTATTATTAATTCTGTTTCTTATGGGTGAACTGAAGCAGAAGATCATTAAATGGGGAATTTATGAATGAATTTAAATGTTATGATATCTAGTATTTCTAGGTTACTTAAGGCCACAATCACTGTAATAATATAGTAGCCACTATTTACGCAGCATTCAATTCCCAGACGACAGTCCAGCTGTCAGCATCATAAACACTCAACCAGGAATTCCTCATGGAATCCAGAAGTGGTGCAGGAATGAAGCCAAAGGCTCCCAATGGTTGTTTCGCCCTCTCTAATTGTGCAGACATAACTTGCATCAAATTGTTTAATTGTCTGTAAGTTTCAAGTGTAAAATCAGAATAATAAGAAGATCGGAACCTATAGAGGAAATCGTTATCACGTTTGCCGCTCTCTGGCAAAATGACCATCTGCAGAGATTGCCCACACCTATCTGGGAATCTGACTGAACAGCTGGACATCTGAATTGACTTGTCTAAAATGAAAGCAGGGAACAAAACCACAATCTGCTAATGCATATTCAACAGTCGCCCAAGCAAATCCTACAATGTATAATTATCAGGCCAGAAAAATAGTTTGCAATTGTATTCAGTCTTAAAGCTTAACAGGAATTGTTTTTATTCCTATAGGAATTGGCAACTGTGGGTAAAAGTCTGGCTCTATAGGGCAGGGAGATGCTAAATAGAAATCAGACCTGGAAAAAAATGTATGGTCAGTCCATCAGAGTGTTCACAAAGAACGTACAGCAAGAAAACAGACCGCTCACCTCAACCGATCTGTGCCAGTGTTTATACTCCACACGAGTCTTCATCCAATCCTTACTCCCTCTCATACCCTTCTATTCCCCTCTCCCTCGTGAAGGTCCAGCTTCCTCTTGAAGGCATCTAAACTATCTGATTCAACCACCGCTTCAGACAGCGAGTTCCACTACTAATCTCACTACCCTCTAATAAAACAAAATTCAAAAACAGTATAAATTATTCTTACCTGTGATCATAACCAGAGTTGCTAGACATGCAAAAGCTGAGACATCAAGGTTAAGGCTTTGTAAGTTTGAAGAAAATTCCTTGATGGTGTCAAGCCATTCACCAAACCCACGAAGGCACTGAAGTCGATGCAAAACAAGTCCGTTACAGAATATAAATTTATCTTCTGCTGGAACGGCTCTGTAAACAATAGTTAAAATTACAGTTAATGAACTGTAAAAACAGAGAACAATCATAATCTTTCCAATATACAAACTGAGGAGTTACACATTCTACAGCACTTAAAATAACAAATCTGTGCTCCTCTGTACAACAAACAACAACAACTTGCGCTTACATGAATGGGAATTAAAAATAAGGGTAACTTTGAGGGCATTGATGTTGACCAAAGGTGCAATTAAAAGGGTTTTTACAAATAGCTTTGAAGGCAGGGAGATAAGGAGCAAGCTGAAGGGAGTTTGGGAGAGCGTGCCAGAGAGTTATTTGGCTACAAATGGCTCAGGTTGACTGGTGTTCGGCTTTGCCTGCTACCTGGTGTTACCTCAAACCAAAATTCGAGGAATCACCAGTATATTAAGCATAAGAAATAAATGGTAATTATGCAGCTAAGATCAATTTTAACATCTGCTCCACTTTCCTTTAATCTGTTGTGTCATCTGTAAGTACAGGAAGAAATTTAATTCTGAGTCATTGCTAGCATCCTATGTAGTCTGCTTTATTGTGGAATGAATTACTCTATATTAATGTTTTTTTTCTACCATCATATGACATAAATATCCTATTGTGATTTGTTCAATAAGGCATCATGGTTTAATTTTGTGTACTTCAAAATACATTGAAATCAGCAATAAAATTGGATCAACATTCGATGGGAAACAATATAAAAGGATGCAGGAAAAGAGCAGGGAATTTGGATTAGAGTGGTTAGCTCCATTTTAAAAACAACTCACATTTAATAATAATCCTTGCATTTGATATAATGCTTTTTATGTCTTCTAGACGTCTCAAAGTGCTTCACAGAATATACTGTAAAGTGAATTGACTGTATATTCGTAGGCGAAACACAGCAGCCAATTGCACACAGCAGTGTTCCACAAACAGTCATGGATTGAGTGACAAACATTTTTTTTTTTTTTTTTTGAGTGATTATTATCCCCTGAAAAGTGATCTGCCAATTGACTAACAACCTGGGTTCCTACTTACTGCTAGGTAAACAGAGGCGTGTGGAGGAAGGAAACTTCCCCAACATTTTGCCCTGCAGCAAAATTTTTACATAAAATAAATGTTTGAGTGCTTTATAGAATGCAATTAACTGAAAACTCTTATGTTGTTACATAGGCAAAATCAGATGCTAATCTCCACCACTAACATTACCATCTACAAACAACAATTGTAGCCAATTCAGTTTTTGAATTTGTGGTAATTTGGATGAAGCGTGAATATAAACTAAAATAACAGGAAGGAAAACATTTTTATTTGAAACAGCACAGAAGGGTGTAGAATAACATCCACCTCAGGGTTGAATCGTCTCTTCCTACACAGTAATTTCTATAATTCTATGATGCAATATATTCAAGGTTCACTCTCTTCTTCACCCTCTCTCGTACTCAATTCTTTGCATTTTACTAGACTTGAAGTTTTATAGTAAGAATATTGTGTTTGTGTCTGAATGTTGAAAGGAACAGTACCATCAAGACTTGCATTGTAGTTTAACCACAATATCACACTATGTAACAAATTAGATTTCATGTGTTGACAATATGTATCACCTATATGTAGCAGGTTTATTCCCACATATTAAATGGCCTTTTTATAAAGTGTAAGATCTATGTTATGTACAAGAAGTTTGAATTTGATGATTTTTTGGGGGAAAAGGTGTACCTGTGGGAGAGTCTCAGTACAAAGAGTTCCAGGAAGGCCGATTCGATAAGTAGGGTCTGATCTTCCTTGGGGAGCTCATTAAATCCTGGGATCTTGTCAGCCCACCCTGCAGTGACTTCCATAGAGGTGGTGAGGAGGCCGTAAAACTGATTCACATGTTCAGCACCAGTGCCTGCTGTAGGCTGTTCAGTAGCACAGAACTGCAGGAACAAAGAGCAATACATTACTCAGAGCAGGTCCACTTACATTAATCTCAATTCCAAACCCATTACAGAAAATAAAGCACCAGATTGGCAGTTTAAAGCTCTCCTGAAAGGACCAGTTCTGCTGACTCTGAAAAGATCTGTACTGGAGACTTCCTCCATTAGTAGAAGAAATTATTTCCAGGTTTCCTGTATCAATCCTCAATAATTTCCAACTGAATTTTTAAAAATTATTCCCTCTCATTTTGTTCCCCTCCTCTCTCTTAAGGTGGTGTATGGTTAGTTCTACAGGTCCCCTCTGACACCTCAGCCAACCAGCCATTCTTTATGCCTGAGTCTGGACAGTGAATATTGACAAGGTGGTGTGAACACAAGAGGGGGGTTATCACAGTCAAATCTGATCATGTTTTCATCCAAAACCCAGACACAGCAATGACAAATTGCATTTATATAGTACCTTTCATGGAAGGAACATTTCTCTAAAGGGATCACAGAGACTGAGTAGGAGCCTGAGCTGGGAGAGAGCCAGAGGGGGAGGGAATGTGGCCAAAGAGAGAGGTTTTTAAAGAGAGAGGCTTTTGAAGGTTGAAAAGGAAAGATGCAACGTGAAGGAATTTGGGAAAAGAGTTCCAGAGGGCAGGGGCAAAGTGGCTAAAACTATCCCACTGAGGGTGGGATGGAGTAAGCGGGCTGGGGTGCACCAAGCAGAGTTAGCAGAGCAGAGGGAATTGCTAGGGGAGTAGGGACAAGAGCTTGTTATGGGAAAAGATGGGGTTTGTGGAGTTTTGGATGATCTGGTGCTTTGGAGGGTGAGGTTGGGGAGGCCATTGAGCAGGGCATCGGAGAAATTATGTCTGAAGGTGATGAAGACATGGATCGGAATTTCTATGCATTAGTCAGTCCCTAATTTGTGGTGCTTCAACATCTTAAAATAATTAGAATTGCTTTTGATATCAGTAGCCTGCAATGATGTTCCCGTGATTTGCATGGCAAAATATTTAACAAAAATCTGTTGTTTTGCAGCTGTGTAGATTTATGTAGAGAGGAAAGTGTTCCAGTATTTCACAAATATACTCTTAGCATTCTTAGCACTGCAATTATACTCTTAGCGCTGCATAAGACCATATTTCCCAAGGAAGTAGTTTTGGAAAATATCTAATGCAAAAACAAATCAAAATATCACCATCAGATCTGCTATTTTACAATTAGGGAAGCTCATCAAAAGTGTCTTTTGAATAAAGCATAAAAAGGTTTGCATCAATGAACAAGTCAGGTTTCTCCATTATTCTAAATACAAACTTCAAGCACAGAACTATGTGCTAAAACATACATATATATAATATGGCATATTCGATTGATTAAAGCATTGCACCATAAATGAAATACCATGATCTGACACATCACAGAGATTTCTGCTAACGCCACCAATTTAAAGTGTCATTAACAAGTTTTCTAGCTGGACTGGATCACTCCGTGGGAGCTGCTGGAGATGTTACTATTCATGACACCCATGTCCTGGATTAGATTATAACTCAATCTGGGGGTTAACCTGGTTGCCTTTAGATTTCAGCCCTGTCAATCTTCCACATATTAGCTTTTCATTAGCTGTAAAACTGACCTGTATCATCAGCTTAGCAAGTCACTTTTCAGCCAATGAAAAATGTTTTTTTAAAAAAAGGTTCCTTCCACCTTTGAAAATAGACAGTGCTAACTGGAAGCAGAAGTATAAATGAAAAGCTTTTAGAATTGAAAAATTGGAAAAAATGTTAAGAGTAGTGTAAATACAGGTAGAAGGACTGAAATTCCACCTATACGGAGCAACTTTCACAATGATATTATAATGGAGAAATTCCATTGATATGGGACAAGGCCAATGCCACAACACATAACGCAGACTGGAATTTCAGCTCAATTAGAGTAGGCAGAGCAAAAATAAAGAGAATAGAGTAAGGGAGGCTAACAGCCAAACAACAGGCAAGCACAGATAAATTAATTTATTTAATTTTATATTATGCTTTATATTTCAGTTTCTTTGCAGAAATTATAGTCAATGCTGCCGAATTAAAGCTATTCCAAAGCTAATAATCCCTCCAAAACCAATAATAAAAATTGGTCATTTTCAATCTACGACTGTTTGTGGGACATTGCTGTGCACAATTGGCTGCCGCGTTCGCCCACAAATATACAGTCAATTCACTTTACAGTGTGTTCTGTGAAGCGCTTTGGGACGTCCTCCCGACGTGAAAAGCGCTATATCAAATGCAAGGATTATTATTATTATTATTATTTGAGTAGGTTTATTTATTTTTTATTTATTTGTTGAAAATGCACGGAACCAAAATTAGCCCATGGATACAGAACTTTCCATATACAGTCTATCCTTTATAATGGTTAAAAGAGACTATTTATATTATTGAAACACAAGTAATTCCATTGTTACTACTTTGAGTCCTTTCTAAAAACTGCACGTATTATCAAAAAGGTTAATTTGGTTTCAGTTACAATATTCTGTTTACTTTTGTAAGATACTTTATCCTTGGTTTTGACTGAAGTCTTTGGTTATGAAGAATTAATTTGAATATAGTAACAGCAAATGTTGATGCTGCACAAACTATCATTGTGAGAAGAGGGCAAATAAAATCACATTAAATGGATGCTTGGCATGTTAGAATCAGAAACGTGGCTGATTCACTAAAAATGACTCAAGCCTTTATTTACTGCTCTACTCATACCATGGTTGCACTATTGACTCATAAACCAAAGTGCAGCTTTTATAAATGCGAAGTACTGGAACGTTTTTCTCCCTACATATACAACAACAATTTGTCAAACATTGTTCCATGCAAAATCACCAGAACTTCTACAGAGACTTTCATATTATACAAATAAGTAATGATCATTCACAACAAAGGACATACACTTCATAAACATATGAAGATAAAACAGTGACCATTTTAGTGCTCTTTCGTAAACGAACCATTGCTGCACAGTCAATTTACAGTACACCTTAATGTCCAAGCAAAGGTCCAGAGAGGTACATCCTGTAACTGCAGTATTCACTAGTTAAAAATCATCTTGAAAATCTCGGAATTAGATCTTTATCTACAAATTTGTGGAGCACAGCAACATTTTCACATCGTGGAATAATCTTATTGAAAACTAAGCTAATCTGCTACTGTTGATGGAGCTTCCGCTGGGATCAAGGAAAATGCTTTTTTTTTAAAAAAAGCACCAAAAAGCTGCTGAACAGCTATTGTTTACATGGGTACCTCAGTATTTATACTATTCTGTGGTTGTAAAATAGCAGATCTGAGAGTGATATTTTGGCCTGTTTTTCCATTCAATATTTTACAAAACTACTTTTTCACGAAAGATGTACTTATGCAGTACTAAGAATATAAAGCTGTTTAACACTTAAACTGATTGTTAGTTACATTTATTCTACGAAAATGGAGTATTTTGGAACTCCATCCCAGAGTCCCTTTGCCTCGGAGCTTCCCTAGCCTCCTTTAAAGTCTGTCTCTGGACCTTCCTCTTTTCCATTCCATCGGTAATTTTCACCCCCCCACCGAATCCAACCCCAGCTCAAGTGCAAACCCTTGGCTGTCCATCCTTGGGACATGGGACATCCTCTCGACATGAAAGGAGCTCTATGTCCTTCCTCTATTCTCTGAATTTTTTTTGATCAATGTAATGCAACATACTGCTATAAATAAAAACTTTGAATTTTAGATTATTTTTCTAAAAGATCATAAAAGACGCATGGTATATAAAGAACAACGTGGAGGTCGAGGTCTCTTTAGACACTCAGCAGTGTGACTCGTTGACACATCGTGAGCAGAACGTCCTCCACATAAAATAATGAAGTGTAAAAATTTTTCAGCAGTCAATACGTGACAAAACACAAGAATTATTTAAGCGAGCGTGCTGCAACCAACATGAAAGTGATGTGGTTACTGTGTTAATAGCTTCTGATCTGATAGGGTCACTCATTATACCGTCTCATCACACCCCACCCAAGACTGATGCAATATTGTGGGATTCCATCTATGGCAGCTCATGCTTACCTGGGAGTAATTGAGGCTGCTTGGAGTGGAATCCACTAATGCCCTCACAAGGGCATTCATCATAGTGATTGGCGGTGAGGGCGGTGATGGCTCCTGAGGGGGGCTCTTTGGTTTTGAGGGCAGACGACCCCTTCTCCCTTTTAAACTATCTGTACGGACCACTGGAGAAATGAAGAAAGAGAGAAAGGTCAATAAGGACAATTCACGGAACCTGTACAGTTTCAGATTTAACTCTCCAGTTATCTGAGGATCACATCAATTGAACAATCCATTGACAACATGTCATGTAAAAAAATGTTTCAGTCAATTTATAGATTGTTTAGAAAATATGCTAAAATGTTAATTGCATCTCTGTACTTTTTTTAAAAAAAGTTTCCAGCTAAAGAACATTGATAATTTGAAAAAAAACGAATGCAAAACACTTTATGCCTATACATTGAACACTGTGTATCAGGAGTGCAATGCGCAGTTGCTTCTTGCAGTTCTGGTTTCCTGTTTGGCTCATCCAGAATGGTCTATTACAGGACAGTTTACCAGGGTGAGCAAACGATATTTGCAGCATGGCTTTTGAAGATTGCGAAAAAAAACCAACAGGAAATGTACAAAGTGTACTGAATTTGGAGAAACCTGGTCAGTGCATTGGTTAAAGTGTCAGAGAGTGACATTTTATTGCCTTCTCGGGCTGTTGTTCAAAATTGTCATGGGTCATAAGTACACACAAAGGGGCTCTGAGCAAATTTACTACTAACTACACAATGAATGATCAAGTTCAAGACAAGACGGTGTTCTTTTAGCTTTTACCATTCTGCCAGAAAGAGGGGTTGTATAATTGAAAACCAAAGTCAGTTCTCACCTTCCTTAACCATCCCCACAGTGAGACATTTCTGAAATCTGCAATATTGGCATCGATTACGCCGCCTCTTATCCACCGGACAATTTTTGTTTGCCAGACAGACGTATTTAGCATTTTTCTGGACCGTCCTCTGCAAAACAAAAACACAAATATTATTAGATCATTTTCTCTCTCCCTTCTCTCCCCCTCCTCCCCACACTACAAAATTAGAAGCTGACAAAGCACATTGTAATTACAATGTGAAATGCGGTAGCGCCATTTGGATAATTAGATAAAATTAATTTCCTAACACGTTAGCCTGCAGGAAAAACAATTTTACTAGTGTTAGCTCCTGACAATGAAAATCAGCCAGATTCGTGCTGGATAAACTCTCAGGAGACAAGCAGCTTTGAATGATAAAATTATTTCTGAAATTACGGGGTCATCACATTATACCTTTGGGGATGTTATCCCTCTCTTTTAATATCCCTTTGGGGATAATTTTCCACTTGGCTTACTCCCACGGTGATTACTGACCTTATTAAAAGACATGCAAAATGATTCAGGAAACCTTCCTTTTATCAACAACCCGCCCCCCAACCCTCTTTTTTTAAAAAAACACACGAGAAAGAAACTCACAGCTTGAATTTCGACAGAGAAGACTGATTGGTACAATTTAAATCACATTCACCATTAAAGAGCTTAATTTAACACTATACATCTTGATTAAAAAAGGTTTATTAATCCCAAATAGAAATAGGAGTACAGTATTGCCCAGAAAGCTTCTTTACAATAGATCGCCAAACAGATTGCACAAGTTATAGTTTCAGATCACAAAGCCAAAGGTTTGTGTTTATTGCCACAGTCTCATTCAAAAAGTCGAGTTGAAATGACTCATTAAGATAATTCATTAGAGGTGCAACCACCACACATTCTGTAGTATTTGGTACATTTATTATTATCAGGTGAGAGTGAACATCTGCGCATCTCTGTGAGTGAGACTCGCCGGGACATCAAAAGCAAACAAAGCAGTTGTCCACAAAATGGGGTCACTTGGCTAGGATTTTCTTTTATTCCTAAATCATAGAGCATTCGCCTGTGTGTTTCCCATTGCACTTAGTTGACTGCTATCTTGAGCACGACAGTGAATGCGGTCATTACCATCACCAAGTTGCTGTTTAAACGAGTGAAATTGCCATTGGCAATTTCTCACTGTGGCCAAATTATTTGTTTATAACACGGGAGGCTTGCTTTGGACGAATGTTAGAGGCTTACTACTTTCTAATGTGTTCGCTTTAAATCTGACAGGAATTATAAACCTTTTTTTAAAAAAAAATAGACTATTCCCTTGCCATTGCACGCCTGGTGACAACTCGCTGCCTATTTCCGGATCTCGCCTTTCTGAAAGTTTTTCCAGGTTTCAGTCCTGCACCTGCCGATTTAACACACCCCACAGGAACTTTCTGGCCAAAATGTGAGACTTTAAAGTGATGCTTTAATCGATCGAAACTATTTCCCGTCTGCATATTTATTTATTTATGTATTTATTTATCTTCTGCTTTGTATCCTTTCCAGGTGAGAGGAACGGATATTTCAAACAATACAATGACCCAGAGGTAAAAAGATAAAATGCCAGATGGTGAAATGTGCAATTAAAACACAATCGGCTGGAAATCCACAAATGGAGGAGATAAAACTAAATAGCTTAGCGATTCCTGAACAGAGCCTGAATCTCTCTCTTTCTCTCTCTCTCACACACACATATATGCTTCTGGACTTCCTGTGAAATGTCAGTACATTACAGCACTGGGCAATACTCTCTTACCTGCCCTCTCAGTTACACTAAAGAGACTTCTTCTATTCACTCACAAATGTTCATTTACACATGCCCATTATTGCGGGTCTGTTCGCTACGGAACTGCAGTTTCATGTTGCATAAAGCTCTGCACTGTTTGACAGATTTCATTTGCTGATGTAACCCTTAAACAAGTCGGTCTATTTTCATCTCTAGGTAATTGCATGTGTTTAATTGATTTAGACGACCTTCCCTTAGTCGTCCTGCAGCGCTGACGTTAAATGTTAAATGTAAAATACCAAAATGTTACAAGGTGTTAAATATTTATGCTGGATACATTCATTGATCTTTGAAATTAAAATATGTTTTTAAATATATGTTGGGTCTTTTTGAATGGCAATTTTTTGAACAGCAATTTGATCATGGTAATTACAGCACCAGCCGGCATTCTCACTGTTGCCGATTGCGTTGCATAAACAGTTTAAACTGAGTCAGGTCTTACCTTAAAAAAGCCCTTACATCCCTCGCAGGTCCTCACCCCATAGTGCTGACAGGCCGCGTTGTCCCCGCACACAGCACACATGCCCTCCCCTGAGGAGGAGCCCCGGCTGGGGGGAGATGGCAGGCTCTGTGGGCTGTGGCTCAGGGGCAAAGGGTGGAAGCCCATGGGCGAGCCCTTGGCTACATGCAGGGAGTACTGACGAGTGTCCATCACTGACTGTCCAGAAGCGCTCTCAACTCCCATAGGCATGTTCAAGGCAGGTTCGTAGCACATCTGGCTGCCGGAGGCTGGAGTGTGAGTGGGAGATTGTTTGAAAGTAAACAGCGGAAACCTCGGTGGTGCTGTCTTCATGGATACATCCATGATGTGGCCTGTGCCCATGCAAGCCTGGGTCACCGAAGGCAACGTGTGAGCCTCGTCCCACATGGAGCTGTGTGGGGTGGAGAAGTGAGGCGTGGTGGGGGTGGACGGAGGAGAGTGTTTGAAGTAGATGGAGGTTGGAGGCAGGAGTTCCTGGGTTTGGTGCTGGATGGATGGCTGGTAGCTGTGATGGGGTGCATCTTCCAGTTTGATCAGGGGTCTGTGGGAGGAGGAGGAGGTGGTGTGCATTTGGTACACACAGGAGGGCTTAAATTCATAGCTGCCCGAGTAGCCTCCCGTCTCCATGAAGGTGCTGAAGCTGGGAAGCGAAGTTGTGGCTGCTATTTCAGCGCTGCCCAAGTCCATGCCAAACTTCATATAGGGCGACTCCCCGTGCGTTAAATCAGGGCTGTAGTCCCCACAGTAAGCGTAACTCTGAGCTGCAAAACTGGCACCTTGTGGTGAGGAGCTATATTGGGCCTGCACACAGGGCATGTCTGAAAATCAACAGGAAAAAAACACAGTAATAAAATGATTTGTTAGTACATCACACACAGTCCCGCGTGCTTGCAAATAGCTGGGGCC